TTTATGTCACTCCTGAGCAAGCCCTCCTTGATAAAAGGAGTGGTTTGTATCCCCTTTTTGATGTGCAGGGGATCAGCACTGCACTGGTGAGGGGGGACTCACTTCACATTGTACATTCAAGGGGGGTTGCATCACACCTTGCAGGATCTCTCTTGCACTACCTGTGCTTTTTCGATGGAGTTGGAGCAAGACAAAGGATTGCACCAGCACAAAGGCTCCAAAGAATATTTGCCAGAATCAAGGAGCTTTATAAAGAACATGGGGTTACCTCAAGGCTGACCAACTTGCGATTGTCCATGATCTGTGATGCTTCTAAACCACATGCCCAGCATGCCTGCCTTGAAGCCAAGGCTGGAGAGACAAAGCATTTCCTACCGCCACTCCTCCAGGTTGTCAGGGAGGCTTTAGATGATGAAGAGCAAAACTATGATCAGTTGCCTGGAGGCAATGGTCAAGATTGATGCTCACTATGATTCCATTGGGATCTTTCCAACTTCTTCAGAGTTTGAGGAGGCTTGCAACCTTGCTAAAAGGTTTTTCTCCACTTATGCTGACCTCCACCAGTGGGCCTTGCTAAAAGGCAGGAAGATTTTCCACATTACCCACAAATTTCACAGCTACATGCATCTCATCCACAACAGTCAATATCTCAATTACAGGATTCACCACAATTATCGAGCTGAGCATTTTGTGGGCCAGCTGAGTGTCCTGGCCCATTCAATTTCTTTTGGTGTGAGACATCCAAGTTATGTGTCAAGATGGGTGCCAAGTACAGAGTCTTGATGCACATGCAGCTGAGTCATCCTGGCTTTGGGAAGGTGGAAGAGAACACCTCTGACCCTTGATAAAAGGGTGACACCTACCTTTTAAAAGTGTTGTACTCCTGTCCCTTGCTGAAGGGGACAGGAAAGCAGCTTTGTTTCCACTCAGAAAAAAGGGGTATGAGAGAACACCTTTGGGTCACACCTACCTTTTAAAGGTGTAGTACTCCTGTCCCTTGCTGAAAGGGACAGGAAAGCAGCTTAAGTTTCCACCCAGAAAAAAGGCTGTGCAGCTGTCACTTCCTATTGATTTTCCTTTTGATTTGGCATGCCAAACCAGGGTCTGATTTTATTGATTTAATTGATACCATTTTCTTTGATTTTAATACGATCAAAATCAAATATGTTCTATTGAAAAAATCAATATCAATAGAGATTTGACCTTATTGATTTAAATCAATAGCCGATGCTCAGGGTTAGTTTTGATGAAAAATCAAATGAATTTAAGGTTAGTTCGTCGGAGTTCGTCCGGAAACAAAAAATAAGGGTTGAGACTATGAAATAAGGGTTGGGGCCATGAAATAAGGATTGGGACCGTGAAATAAGGGTTGGGACAACGAAATATGGTGAAATAAGGGTTGGGACCGCGAAATAGGAGTGAAAACCCAGAACTCAGGGTTGGGACCATAAACTAACGAAGGCGAAGGGTCAGGCTAGGACACAGAAAAGAAGGAATCCGGAACATGAAGTGCTGTGAGCGCATCACAGAAGAATTTCCTGCTTCCAACTGTTGGCCCTCCCAACTCGATCTCCTGTTGGATGAAGGGGGAAAATAAACCAGGTTGTTGTTTCTTTCCAATTTCTAGTAGTTTTACTTATCTTGGCTTATGAACAAGTTGGTACCATACTTTTTGCCCAGCGACTCTGGGAAGGCGAAGTTGGATTTATCATGATTTATCCATAGCTCAACCACCTCAGCCTTATTGTTGTATGTGTGTCGTGATCTCTTCTGCCGCTGTTGAACTGTTCTCCTTGTGGTGTACAATTGGCTCTGGCTTGCGCCACTTGCTAAACTAGTTTACTTCTAGTATTTGCTCACAAGTTCAAGAAAACAACTTCAACCTTAAAAGTTCAAAGCCCGACGCTTAGCGCAAGAAATCCCGACTAACGCAAGTTTCACGAAAAAAACCCACTCTTCAAGTCTTGGCTGCGCAGGCAGGTACAATAGACAATAGATGAAAGATGAACAACATGCGCTTGGGAGGTCAATGAACTATGAAGTGGAGAAGAAAACATGCGCTGCAGCGTTTCATTGAAGTTGCATTTGCTGGAGTATTGATTTGGAACTATACTTAACTGCGTTCTTCATGCATTTCTTCTAGAGTCTAGAGCGCAGAAAGAATTCTTTCACAAGTGCGCAAGCGTACAGAACGCATAAGGATCCCACGCAGATTTCGTATGAAAAAGGCAACTTTCTCAAAATGATAAGAGTATTTTCAACAGCACCTAGCAGAAAGTCTGCGTTGTTGTAATTCGTGCCACTAATACTCGAGTAGACATAACTGGAGCAATTCATGAGAGTTCAACACCATGCCCGCGTAAAGCCATAAGACCTCATGAAAATTAGATGTCAAAAAGACTTGCTCGTGTAATGACAAGAGACCGCGCGCAAATAGTTTCCTCAACATGCTCATGCGCTCATGAAAAAAAAGCAGGTGGGTCTATTGTTCTTTGATCATCTTTGATCAATTGACTACTTGACCGCACTTGGATGACACTCCAAGCAGCTATTGAGCGATCAAATGATTGTACACCTGCTGGGTGTCCTGACCCCCCAACACCGAAAGTACCTGCCAAGCATAGCGGCGCTGCTAAAGGAAAGCAAAAGCAGCTCACTTGAGCGTCCACAGCGCGCAACTCTTTACACATTCATTATTAGCACCACACTACATAAAACGAAACTATGATGACATTTGAACAGCGCCTTTGGAAAAGTTGCTCCGCCGAACGCAGGAAGGGTTGCTGCTTTAGCGTTTCGCGAGTTGAAGAAAATGAGCGGCTAAGTTGTGAATCGCTTTTGGAATTACATGAGAAAGTTTGCAATGTGGCAAGCACAGGGTGTTCTTGACATCTGCATGTGCGCTAATTGGCTAGGGCTAGCCATTTCTGGGCGTTTGCCTGTGAGCCCTGTCATTTTGTGAGCAAACATTACCAAACAAGAAAGAAGCCCTTGCGCGTGTCGTATTTCTTAATTTTCGCATCTTTAAAATATAAGTTGCAACCTAAATTAGATTTAGATTCTTTGCCATTCAACGAATCGTACCAAATGTAAAAATGTAAATACCTTATTGCCCGGACTCAAGGCGCAAAGGCTCTGCAATTTGGCTTGTAGGCGGCCCTGGCCCAAAACCTGACTACCCTGAGTGTGTGAGACAAGTCAAGGAAGGCTATGGGCTGACGCAACCGCTCCGTTCCCCCCCTGCGCCCCCCCACGTGAGGGAATGACCGTCAGGTATCCGCGTGTCCCCCACTGTAAGAGTCGAGCTGAACCGATCCTCGGACAGAAACTCTAAACTCCAATGCCCTTCTTGGCTCCGGAGCCAAGATGCGCACCGTCCCAGACTCAACACTCTAAGATGAACAAACATTGCGCACTGCTTCTGCAATACACAGGATGTAGACAACCGGATGGGTCCCACGGAGCAATAAATTGGAATGCTACTGGTTGCTGCTACTGCTTATGTCCGATGGGTTTTGAGGTGTCCTGAAAGCCTTGCGATGCGTGAAGGCTTCTCGTCAGGTCGTCCAAGCAGGACTCAAAGGGATCTGCACCTCAAGCGAATGCGCCGTTCCCGACCCGTCTCCATCCAGAAAACTATCCTCAAAAAGGCGCCAAACAGGACCGCTAATATGAAAGCGCGTGCGCGTAAGGGCACACAAGCACGCTTCCAAAGACGACGCGACGATCAACGGAAGCTTTCTATCTATAGAAAAAGAATTTCCGCGCTGCGGGCTCTTAGACAGTTAAGTCACAGGTGCGCAGCGACAGTCGTGTAACACAAAAATGCACAATAAAAGGCTAGTTCAAAGTTGAGGAGGCCTCGCCCTTGCGCAAAAAAAACAACCGCGTTGTTCTGGCACAAGCGCGCATATGAGAGCGCAGGCGCGCGCGCATATATGAGATACACGCGCAAGGGCACGTGCGCGTAAGAACCCTGCGCGTGATAGCACACATTAAAAGGTCACGTACGATAGTTCGCTTGCGAGCGCAAGAGAGAACACGTGTCAAACAACACATCGATCTGAGGGCGCGTAAATGCAAACACGCATATGAGAGCACAGAAAACCTAGAGAGTTCAGTGTGTACGGTCTGAACGCCAAAGGCCTGTCAGCAAAAAGGAAAAACGCGAAAACCTTGACCACAAGGTGGTCCGAAAGCACAGTAGGAAACGACACGCGGTAACAATGGTGTTGATGACGAGCATGATGGTCGCAGAGACGCTCTTAGGGACAGTGTTGCGGGACACTCTTGTGGGACACTCTTGTAAGACACACTTGTCGGACGCTCTTGCGCGACGCTCTTTGTAAGAGGCCCTGGCTTGGAATTTGAAAGACTGTTGCCGGGGACACTCTTTTAAGGCATTCTACTGGGACACTCTTGTCGCACACTCTTCTGGGCAACCACCACTCATCTCTCTAACCAGCGACAGGCGCGCGTTTCCTGCTCTGCAAGGGCGCCGAGGCACATGACGCTTCCACCAAGGCCGCACTAAACCGCCTGATACAGCGACATCACACTTAGATCATTGCTCGCAAGAGCTGTATCAGTTTTGAACTCCAGTGCGTTGGCCCTTTAGATGAATACTTATAGCGCTTGACTTGAGGGAACGGCAAGAAGTGCTGGGTCCGTCAAACAGAAGGTTTCAACAACACGCATTAGCCCTTTACGACATATTAAAAGTTAGTGCAGGTACATCCAGAAAGCGTCCTTTCTGGATATCACGACCAAAGTATCACTGCCTTCATTGGGCAGTAGTGAGTGATAGTGGTCCACTGCCCCCCTGCACTGCACAGCTCAGTGCATGACTCCATGACCGTAGGGTGAATTAGGTTGAATTAAGTTAAAATTGTTTTCCTTAGTGTGGTCGAAATCCTTGGAAACAGGAATTGACACACGCAAAAAGCCGAGTCGGCGCCCTCTCATTTTTCGCGCGCGGGGTGGGGGGTGAGGGGGAGGGAGTGCATTGATTAAACGGGCCTAAGAGATAACCTAACAAGCCGAAAGGGTGGCGGGGTGCGAGGGGGTAGGGGCGTGCGTTGACTAAACGAGCCTAACAAGCCTGAAGGAAAGACCAAACAGACGAAAACAGCAAGGAAAGAAAGAAAAGGTGCAGGGGTTTTGGTTGCGCACTCTTGATTAACAGGCCTCAATTATACCTAAAATGCTTTTAGCAACGAAGGAAGACCTAAAAAACGAAGAAAACCCTGAAGAAGAAATGCAAAAAACATGTGATTACGTTAACCAAACTGTCACTGTCTTCATTGAATTAGGTTGAATTAATAAGTTATCTCTGACCGCTTGCGAGTCCGCGGCATACCGTACACGGCATAGTAGTGTAGCGCGTACGCCCTCTTGGTCCATCAGAGAACTATATAACTAAATGTAAGAGGACGAGACAAGTCCTGTCGTGTCCTCACTGGCCGGTGCTTCGTGAACCCTCCCAACAAATTGCTAGCCCTAGCGGCCAACCCGGGGGAGAGATTGAGCAAGGTGGCCCCACCGCGCTGATGCAATCCAAATCCAAGCTCGGGCTTGTGGAAATCAGAACGACGAAAAACAGAAAGATCGAGCATGGCCAAAACCTCGTCAAAAAGGAGCCTGGTCGCTGGCGGTTTGGCGAAAAGGCCGAAGAAGGTCTAAGGTAAAGCGCTTCGAGATCCGAAAACCAACCAAAGACCCCAGGGGTTCCTTCCCGTTCAAAGAGCTTCTCAAAAATGCTGGTGGCAAACTCAGTAGTGAAGGGAAATTCAAACTACTGACCTGTACTTGCCAGCTGATTGGGAGGCATTCAGTGAGACAATCTGGAACTCTCAGAACATCTTCGGGAGGTCCAGTGTTTTCTATGTCTCAGTGGTCGAGTCCTGCTGAAAGGTGGTGTCTGAGACTCTCCAACTGGACTTTGTTGCGTCTTGTACTTCTCAATGAGCTTGGCGCGCAATCCAAGAGTGACATCTCTCCTTATTGCATTAATCTCATCTACTCTTTGGTTACAACAGAGGACCCAGTCCTCAGAGCAGTCTTGCAACTTCGACGGCTCGAGGTGCGAGGGCGCCCAATGCACCAGGGTAACTCTGTGGGACCTGCAGCTGAGCACGGCTTGGATTTCGAGCCGGAGATCAAAGTCAATGTCCGGTGTCTATCAGCTGCAGTGTCTCGGCAGCGTTTTGTGCGTCCGTCCAAAGGCAGGCATCTACGTCAGTTAACACTCCAGTGAAGCGCGGAAAGCAAACCAGTGATTTCAGCTCTGGCTGACGTTTGATTTGGCCCTGCTAAAATATGGCCCGCGCTAGCGTTGAGGACTGCCCAAGCTGCTGTGCTTACTGTTGGACGATGTCTGGTGCATGCCCCGTCCGGTGGCTTCGACGGATTCAAAGTTCTTGACCAAATCAGGCTGGTGCGCTAACCAAACCCTCCGAAGTCGATGAAGCTCAAGTTGAGGGGGAAGTAAATGAAAGACAAAACACTTGGGCAAACCAGCAAAGTCTGCTTTAAAATCTAACGAGTTCCTGAGCTCTTCAAAGCGAGGGCGCGTATGCCAATGTAGTCGGTCATCTAGACAGTGGCAAGTTGGGCACATCTTGTCCTTGCTGCTGTCATAGTGATAGTGTCCGTGTTCAGCATTGGAAAGAAATGCACCGCTTGTGATGGTCCAGCTTGCTCAGATACTGGCTGAGACCAAAAAGACCTTCCATCGTCTTATGCTTGGCGCGCGCCGCAACAGCTTGAAACAGGCATCCTTGAGCTGGAAGAGAAGCCAGGTCTTGTCAGCAGTGCAGAGGTTGTGCTGCAGTCCAAGGTGGTCATAGATCAGCGGCGGAGAGCTGATGGACCAGCCAATCAAACTAAAGAGCTGTATGAGCTTGCTGAAAGGACCTGGAAGGAGTTTACCATCGAAGTTCTTGAATGCAATCTTCCAGAGAAAAAAGAAGGTCATCATTCTTGCGCAACAATCTCCGGAAAGTCAACAAGGTTGAACGAAGATGGTAGAACTCAGGATCTTGAATGGCCTCATCATATGATGTGAGCCGCAGAGTGGCATTGGAGCCAGCGCCATTGAGCTTAAGGGCTCTGACCGTTGTTTCCGAAGGTCGTGGAAATGACCCATGGTTATAGTACAGGCTGTCACCAGTTGGACAATTTTTGAATCCTCCAATCGACTGAAGGGCGAAAGAACCTGAGCCAAATATGGAAAGCCCAGCCAATGTGGACCATTGTCAAAACACTGAGCGGGCAGCCTTCTGGACATCCCCTTGTCGAGGTGATCCCTTCACTCATGATGAATTTGGAAGCGTCGTGTAAAACCAGCAAGGAAAGCTTGCCAGGGCCAAAAAAGGGTTGCAGGTGTACCCAGGTGCTCCGAAAGTGCAAAATAAGGAGCCCTCTCCATGCAATTGAAGCATTTCAAGAGGTCAGCTGATGCACCATGTCTGGCTGACTGAGCACTGAGACCAGCTTCTATCCAAGCTTGCAGAGTGAACCAAAGCATAGCGGGCTCGTGATCTGGTAGAAAACCATGTAAATCGTTGGGAACCAGCGGTGCAAGTAGACGCAGCAACTGCCTGGCCCTCAAGCTCCCCCAAATTCTGTGGGCGATGGTGAAGAGGTGAATTGGCCTAAAATGGGCAGGTAGATGAGGCTCATGTATCTTTGCAACCGTGAAAACAAAGTGCATTGAAAAAGTCCACAAGCCATTGAAGATGACGGTCAGTGAGAGACATGAGGTCCTGTCTGCTGAAGCCGTCAGCACCTGTAGCAGCTTGCTGTTTTATCCGCTGCAGGGCCCTGCGCCATTGAGATAAAGTCAAAGGCTGAAGCTTAAAGCTGAGACGTGGATTAAAAGCATTAGCAAAGTCAAGCACCTTGCCCAAGAGTTCTGCGAAAAGACCGAGATAGCCGACCATCTAGCTTTCCAATGCTGTACAAAAAGAGCGCAAATGCCTTCCACCGATATTTCAAATGTTCTTCCTGGAGATCCTAGTTGCGCCTAAAACTTGCGACTCGCCACTGTGCTACCTTTTGATGTCAAAATACGCCACTGCATTTTTGACCATTTTCTAATTCTTTTGCATTGTTTCGCTCAAGCGTGGCAATTGCAGAGCGCAAACAAAACCTGGAGGCAACCTTCTGCAAACTTGGTCTCTAAAATTGATTTGAGCATGGCTAGGATTGGACTACATCCATGTACCGACCCCTCCATATCGGAGGTGGCCTGTACATATAAATATATATATACATATATATCTATACACATTTGAAAAAGAGGTCGAAGGTGTCCCTGGTTTGCGTGCGTTTTCTTCAAGTGTTTTCTTCTGAGAAACGGGTTTCGTTCCGCTTGACCGATCGGCTGCCGAACCCGCCGTCCACCGCCATCCTTTTCTCAGCTACGGCCGCGTCACCCCTGCGGCTTGCTCGCTTTGCCCTCAGTCTTTGAGGTCGCTGACATGTTCAACCGGACATTTACCAAGTACTTCCTTAAAGTACTTTCGTGGATGGTCCTTGAGTCGCAAGAAGTCGAAGTTTTGGAGACCCTTCCGATCAGATCCTCGTCCAT